AGCTCGGACTGCCCCGCGGTGTCACAAAGGGGGCCCTGGCATGGGGGAAACTGAGGCACTGGGATGGGGCAAATGGAGGCACTGGGATGGGGAAACTGAGGCATGGGGGTAGGGGGCAATGGAGGCACTGGGACAGGGAAAAAGGGGAGGGGAAATGGAGGCACTGGGGTGGGGAAACTGAGGCACGGGGGCAGGGGGACATGGAGGCACTGGGATGGGGGAAATGGAGACACTGGGATGGGGAAATGGAGGCACTGGGACTGGGGAAAGGGAGACACTGGGATGGGGGAAAGGGAGGTACTGGGATGGGGGATATGGAGGGACGGGGAGGGGCAAATGGAAGCACTGGGATGGGGGAACTGGAGACACTGGAATGGGGGAATCTGAAGCACTGGGATGGGGCAAAGGGAGACACTGGAATGGGGAAACTGAGGCACTAGGAAGGGGAAATGGAGGCACTGGAATGGGGAAACTGAGGCATGGGGGTAGGGGGATATGGACGCTGGAGGACAGGGAAATAGGGGAGGGCAAATGGAGGCACTGGGGTGGGGAAACTGAGGCACGGGGGCAGGGGGACATGGAGGCACTGGGATGGGGGAAATGGAGACACTGGGATGGGGAAATGGAGGCACTGGGACTGGGGAAAGGGAGACACTGGGATGGGGGAAAGGGAGGTACTGGGATGGGGGATATGGAGGGACGGGGAGGGGCAAATGGAAGCACTGGGATGGGGGAACTGGAGACACTGGAATGGGGGAATCTGAAGCACTGGGATGGGGCAAAGGGAGACACTGGAATGGGGAAACTGAGGCACTAGGAAGGGGAAATGGAGGCACTGGAATGGGGAAACTGAGACATGGGGGTAGGGGGATATGGAGGCACTGGGATGGGGGAAATGGAGGGATGGGGAGGGGGGAAACTGAGGGATGGGGAGGGGGAAATGGAGGCACTTGGCTGGGGGAAACTGAGGCACTGGCATGGGGGAAACTGAGGCACTGGGATGGGGGGAATGGAGGGACTG